ATTTCCATAAATTAAAAATAATTTTTAAAGGCTTAAAAGTGAATTTTTCTTATTTTCTCATTAAAATAATTATAATAATTTAATTCAAAAGACCATGAAATTTTTCCTAATTATTTTTCTGACCTAAGAAAACCTTTAATCATTTTCTCATAAATAAAAACTTCATTTTGGAAATTATTTTGGAAAGTTAAACAAATCAAACAAATCAACTTTTGAAATTTCTATTTTCTAAATTTAAATAAATAATTAAATTGAATTTGGAGAAGTCTACATATTCTCCTCTAAACATTATAGTTACCTCATGACTATGACACTCTAAACCCTCAAAGTCATTTGAGTTGTGTTTAAAGAGTTATGAGATGTGCCCTAAGGGAGTGAAATAGTCATTTTAGGCTTTGGTGCCTTAATCAAAATTTAGGATTAACCAAGGGAAAAATGGGTAATTTTGATCTTAATAAATATATTTGGATGATTGAAATACAATGGGGTTAAAAGGCAGAAACTCACTCACCACCCTTGCACAACATCAATAAAACCATAATCCTCATAATCTTCATGACTTGGAAATCAATTAAGATCAGACGATTCTTAAGTGATGGGCTTAAGTTAGAAAAATGATAATTTACTTTTCTTAAGCCTAAAGTTGAGGATGATTTGACCATTTGATAAGAATACATATCACTTGAATAAAAAATCTTGATAATCACCATTTCACCTATCATGATTGTTAAAGGCTTGGTAATGACCAGGCTCGATGTTTAAACTCAATTAATTGGATTTAGAAGATAACATTATCGGTGGTTAACATATTTAAACACTACAAGTATGACCTTAATTGTGGGCACCATAATCTTAAATAGCCTAGACTTGCCTTAGGGGCACCCACTCACATAACTTTTAAATGAAACATCAATTAACTAATCGAGCATCCTATCCTTGGGATAATTAAATTGTTAAGTTTCACTGAGCAACGGGGTAGTCACACTTCAACCTCAGATGATTAGCCTTTAGTTGGAGCTCTAGGGTGAGAGCCAATCCTCTCCTAGCTTAGCCACGGATTTAGGGACTAAACCTGAATTAACCAATGATTTTCTTTAACACTGTATCAGGGTAGAAAATTAAAACTGCTCCTATTTGGCACAATACATATTTGAACCATTTATCTCATCTCATTTTACCAAAACCTCATTATAGTGGGAAAGATATTTTTTCACATAAGACATCTTCATCACATAAACATAGTTTAATAGGTTTGTAGTTATTCTTTATACTTTGTATTTCATTTTTGTTATTAGTTAAATAATTTAGTTCTAATAATGTCTCAACATTCAAAATTAATGACAGTAATTTCTTTTTGACTTTATGTGAATTTTCTAGTAAATTTATCATTTTAAATTTAAATATTCCCCGTGGGATCAATATTTGGGGCTTAAATAGAAAGTCTTTTATTATTTGATAACAATATGTATACTTGCGTAGAATCTCAATATTAATTGCTTAAATTTCTTTTTAACAAAATATTGGATCAATAATTCGAGATGGTATTATCTCATTCAACTAATGGTAAGAATCAGATGAGATTGTATGGATGAGAATGTAATTCATATGATTGAGAGTAAATAAATAGGGAAATAAACTTTGATGGGTAGGGGTGTAAACGAACCGAACACGAACGAACAAAGCTTGTGTTCGTGTTCGGTTCGTTTAAAATTTAGTTTGTTTGAAATAAGCTCGTGTTCATTTCTTAACGAACGAGCCGAACACGAACCGAACATGAGCTGTTCGCGAACGACGAGCCAGTTTGACATCCTTAATATTAATATATAAAAATAATATTATATATTAATTATATAACTTATATTATATAAAATTATTTTATATTATTTTATATTTCAAACAATAACGATTCGAACACGAACGAACGCATCACTGTTCGTGTTTGGTTTGTTTAACTAAGCGAACACGAATTCATTGACGAACCGAACACGAACTGTTCGCGAACAACGAGCTTTTTTGACAGCCCTATTGATGGGTGTAGAATTAGAGAACTTTAGAGTGACAGGCTAAAGCCCCCAATTTGGTTTATAGTTTTAGGCTTTGATACGAGATGTTAGCCCCTAGGTGGAGGAAATAGAACTCTAGAATGAGAGCTTGTATTTTCCCTACCTAGCCGGTCTTCAAGACTATTTAAATTTTAAAATTAATATTTATTATAACATCTCTAATATAAGTAAAGAATATTATTGCTCCTATTTGGCACAGCACAATCTGAAGACTTCCACAACATAATACTTATACTTGTTACTGATTCATGATAAGGAAAATTCATGATAAGGAAAAACACTTGTTACTGATTCATGATAAGGAAAAACATATTTTATTTATATTACCTTCATTTTACTTAGTTAGTTATAAGTTTAGTTAGTTATTTACTTTACTTTCATTTAGCAAAAATTACAAAAAGAATCAAATTTTTATTCCTATTATAGCATCTAAAGTTTGAGTAAGAATATTTTGCTAAGTATAAGTTGTTATCCATTTTTTCTGATTTTAATTGCATATTGACTTTTATTCCAGTGGGTTCAATATTCGGGGCTTAATCAAAAAACTTAATGAAAAAGTTCTATATTACTTAATAACGAAACATATACTCGCGTAATATCCCATATTTAAATATATTAATTGTATTCTTATTTGCTTTGAAGTTAAGCTTTTACCTAGCTGTTGCTGGTGATCAAGTTTTTATGTAATTGCAAAGTAAGAATTATAAATAAAAAAAATTAAGAACATGGCTGCATACATCGTACTGTCATATAAAATTATAATCAATATGTGACTTCAACATGAGCTTCACTTTTGTCATGATCGATTGGGATAGCCGTGCACATCACAATCAAATTTTCAAAGATACAACATGGAGTAACAAGTACAACTTCCAACATCTATCCACATGTTTGCTTGAAATTCACATCAGGTAAATATTATTTAGTTGATGTTACATATACGTTGCAGCGAGAGTTTCTAAAGCCCTACCTGATATGAGAAACCACATATATGACTTTAAGCAAGCCAGCAATGTCACACGAGACAGGAAAGAAATGTTCAATAAAAGACATTCCTCCTTGTGCATTATCATTGAGATGAAATTTGGATTTTTTAAGAAAATGGGTATACTTCACGATGTCATCTTACTCGTCTGCCAAACAGGTGCAAATTGTGATTGTTGTCATGAATTTTCACAATTATATACGACGACATCCTTCTCGCAACGATATTGATTTCGTAGGGAAGACGAGGATCATGAGCATGTCTCTGCTAAGAAAATGAGCATGTCCCCGAGACCAGTACTAAAAACGGGAAAGGTGCAAGCGAGATAACAGAGTTGAGGGAACAAGTTACAGATGCGATAGTAAGATTGTGCTTTGAGTATTCATTATATTATTAATTGTAATGGTTATTGAAGAGATTCACTGTTTATTGTGCTTGTATTTTATATAGTTCATGTTTATTTACATTCCTTATGTATTTGATATTGATTGTTTGGGTTTTTTACACTGTAAGTGTTTTTTTTTTCATTTTACATTTATTTTATTTTTCTTTTGGTGGGTTTTGGAGATCTATGATGAGATGTTTAATCTTATGGGTTCTTCTGGATTGTCTGTTTGTTAATATTGGTTGGTGTCACATGTAAAATCCTAATAGAGACAACCGAGTTCCATTCTTTCTTTCGGCACTGCAGATTTTGAGATTCTTCTAGATGGCCTTATTTGATGATTTGTATTTGTGACATAAATAAGATTGAAATTACGTGGGTTAAAGACAACTAAGAACTATTTTTTATATGATCTACTATTTTGTTACAGTGACGGATTCGTTGTTTGATATATTGAGTTCTCTGAGACCTCACGACTGCATAAAATTATAATTATTCTTTTTTAAACAATTTTTACTAATGTTGTGTCTAATAAGATGTGTTTTAAAGTATTCAAAATAGATGAGTTCAATGATTTCTGGTACATCTCATGTATTGCACTGCTACTGTGGACTTCAAAGTTTTCTGTTAACTTCACATCAAAGACATAGCTATGGGAGACAATTTTATAGATGCCCGTAGAGAATCACAGAAAACTAACTTTTTTTTTAATTGAGCAGATAGGCTAGAAGATTTCGCCGCCAAGAGTGATCTGGCATGGATAATATCTCTAGAGAACGACTTAACTTGTGACTTACATTATCTGCATTTTAAAAATAATTTTATCATATTATTAAATGTTATTTGAATGGTCTTTTTCTTAATGTTAATAATAATGATAATCACTGTTAAGTAATGTGCATGTCTTTTTTTGTACGGTTCTGTACTGAATTCTTGCTTCTGAAATATAAAATATATTGGTATGATAGTACTATACAATGACATAATGATTATTTGTCCAAAAACAGCTACAGCACCGCTATTTACAAATTGTAAAAAACAAACAGGCAGCAACAACTTCTACACAATAAATTTTTTTTTGTGGCAACTGCCATACAGTAGCTTATTATTAATCCCCAAGCAGACCCATAGAAATTTAGTTCTTGGAGTTGCTAGAAATATTGTAGATGATGAAGGCCTTCTTTTTCCATTTTCTTCTATTAGGGTGACCATATTTCATAATATATTAACTAAAACGAGGCTATAAAAAATAAAAAATTAAAAATTTAAAAAGTTTTAGGTATAAATGTTATTCACAATTTAACAGTTCATTGGAGCTCTTTTCTCTCTAGGACGTTACAGGTGTCATTGTTATATGCTGCGTGCATATTTTCAGGCATTAACTAGAGTAATTAAACAATTAAAAGTTCCATGTTCAAATAAGTGTTTTCAGAAACTAAAATTAATAGCCCTATAATCCTATTTTTGTTTTAGGGCGTTATCAGCACAGAATGTCTATTTTGATCTCTGTACCAAGAAAGGAACAAGGAAATATTCTCAAATGAACTTATTTCAGCTCAATGTCCACATAAAAAACTCCTAGAACAGATTGTATTCATCAAAGGAATATAAAAAGTACTACTTGCAGTACATATCTGACAAAGACCATTTGGAAAATAAGAAAAAAGAGCTCTCAAATTTTCTACTGAGCATACCAGTTTCTGTAAACTATCTTCCTGCATATGAAATAAAGATCACAGGAACAATCTTTCTTGCGCATCCCAGTAATAAATTATATTTGCCTCATCATGGACCTCTGTACCTACGGAAGCAAGAGAGACAACCTTGACGCTGATCAAGAGGAATCATTCCCCCTCCTTTCGATACATCAATAGACTCCAACAAGATTACTACTTCATCCATTTCAGGTCTTTTGTCAGGATTTGCATCCCAGCATTTTTTCATAGTACTTGCAAGAGAGCTGGGGCAGCAGCGCGGTATTTCTGGTCTCAAGTTCTGCAGGTTCACAAGAAAAAAAAAAATATATATATATATATATATATGTCTGGGATTAAAAACTTTATTAAAATATTTTCAAAAAAAATACATTTATTCATCCCAGTAATTCTGTTGGCATTTATCAAAGTGTTTCTGGAATTTTCGGAAAAAAAATAATACATTTCTTCATCCCAGAAACGGATATTTATGATGATCTGGAGTATGAAATGTCAAGGTCAGAGGCATTTTCATTCATGTATATTTCATATAGATGTTCAGAAATACAGTAAATGCATTAATATTTCCTTCCCCAGTCTTATATGCTAAAACCAGGAAATTATAACATGATTACAGAATTTATTCATATAAAGGCTATCAGAAACTTTTAGTCATCAAAATTATTTCAAATGTTGTTATTATCTTTGGACTAGAAATGCTTTAACCTAGCAAAAGATATGGGTGCCCAAGATCACATATAACACAATCGCTGCTGATCATGATTGATTTAGGTGTTCCTGGCCCATTTTCTTCTAATTAATACTTCGTACTTTCCCAGGTTTTCCTCCTTGATATTTCCGTAAGTAGAGAATCTATACCTGTCGAACAACAGCAGATGTGATCTCTGAGAAACTGAGATCAGGATATGGCATATCACAGCAGTAGATCTCCCACAAACAGATTCCAAAACTGTAAACATCGCATTTACGATTGTAAGGATTGCCATTGAGGACCTGTCATCAGTTTTCAGTGAAAAAGCATAAGCAGTCGGTTTGAAAAGTGTAAAAAGAAGAGAGAATGAGAAAGTGGACATTATTGAATGTTATTTGGTGCAAGCATGTGTGACTATATAAACAGAAGGAGGAAATAAGAAACTGCACGGCCACAACACCTTAGGCTAAGTTAAAATCAAGTTATAAGAGAGCCAATCAGATCCACTAGCCCGTTCTGTATGACAGCCCACCTGAACAAATCGATCACTCAAATCAGTTAGCTCAATTAGATAGATTGACAAGTTAATTCGGCTAGTCATCCACGACATTCTGGGATGGGTGAATCATTGCCAAAAAAATCAGATTGCAATGTCAATTTCTAAAAACAAGTAGGCTCACAATATACACAAGGTACAATGGACTACTTAGTTTGTACTTTATTACGTACTGTATGCAGTTTAATTTTTTTATTTTTTGAGAACCGTTCTATATAGTACACCGCAAGCCAACTTAACCTATAAATATAGATTACCAACATGAGATTTAGGAGGCACTTTTAGTGAGAAATCTTACAAAATGTTTTCCTAGCCCAAACCCTCATATTCATTCCATTAAGAGCAATTAATATCACAAGGGATTTCCCCTCTTTCTTCTCTTGTCTCTCTCTTCATTTATTCTTCTCTTACACAACTCTTTCCTTGGTGGAATAACCCAAAGATATACCAGTGGTGAGTATGGACCAAGTCACAAAATAGACGTGGAGTTTCTCATGAAGAGCCGAGGCACGGAAATCATTTGACCAATATGGGTTGAACTAGAGAGTTTGTTGTGCATTTAATAAATGATCAAAAGGAGTAGATGAAGGTCATGATGAAGGAGAAGCTTTAGTGTGTGCATCAAGAGAAGCACCGCACACCCAACCACAATCTGATTCTTTAAAATCAGTTGTACGTGATTCCAGTAACAAAAATGAGGACTCCGTCACCCTCTCCGACCCGAGAAGATGAAACATACCACCCAAAGAGGACAGACTCTTCTCTTCTGACTATAGGAGAGAGAGAACCTGAGGAATTACTTGAAAGAGACCCCAACTAAGGAATGCATTAAAAAAAAAAAAGGTTCTTGAGGCTTAGGACTTGAAAGAGACCCCAAAAAACTGTTCTAACTATATAGTAAAATTAAACTTGTAAATAATACAATGAAGCTTAGGACAGAATAATGAAACATAAAGACACTTATATTAGTTTCAATTAATCAATTTAATATCATGAAAAAAAGATCTACCAAGAAAGTAAATTTTGGTTTAAGACATTTAATGGAAAGGAATGAAGTGTAGAGAATGAATCCCCATATAATTTCTATTTACTTACAAAGATATGATCTGAAGTATCATGAAAAATAATTTATATTGCTATAAATACGAAATGTTTGCATCAAAGTCGTATTAAAGCTAAATAGAATATGTGTAGTAGGACTAATTAGTATTAAAAGAAGGTAGAGAGTACCAAACAGATTCAATCATATTAGCAATAAATAAAAGATCAACATTAAGTTTATATTTTTTTGTATATATTTAGCGTACGTTTACAAATAATATTAAAAATAAGGATTTGTTAAACATGTATTCTTTTTGTAGATACATAGTTCTAATAGCTGAAACATCTATTAAATAAGTAATGTTCTTAAAATTTAGAAACAAAAAAAGTAAAAAGTTGAAATGATACCTCAAAGATTTGTACAAGGCCATATAAATTCCATACTATATGTTCAATTTAGTTATTTAACTTTCCAAATATGTTTCAAAAAAATCCCTCTATTTAATTATTTTATATCAAATTTGTTAGTTCAATGAACTATTTTTAATATAAAATGACTAAAAAATGATCTAAATAGGATATATTAGATAGTTTGAAATGAAAACAATCTCCTACAAAAAGTAGAAGTACCGTTTTTAACCTTCTCTTAGGAAAAATGTTTAAGAGATGGAGATCTTTAAATTAGTGAAATAAAAACTGCATAAACAAAATACATGTTTAGCGGCATGATATTAACTAATTAGCATCTTTGATATATTATGTAAATTAAAAGAAAAAATATTAATAAGAATAAAATTTGCATAATTAAATATTATTAAATGAAATAGCAAAATATCTTAGGAATATTATATAATGAAGATATAATGCATATCTACCCTTCAATTTAACCAAATCTAATAAAATTTGGCGAAGTTCAATCCTTATAAATTGCCTTGTGATGCATAATTTGAATCAAGGTTGTGCTATATCGAATCAAAATTTTTATGATACATAAAGTCACTCCTTTACTTTTAGGCATTTCTATTAATGAGTCTAAAAATACCTTCACGATGTAAAGGAAGGGTTCATGTTTGTTCCAAGAGCAATAATGAGTTACAATTTGAGTCAAAACCTCATCACGTGCACCCATTTCCTTGAATAATCAATAAGAACATTCTCGCAACTATGAGCCATTTTAAGATTAGGAGAGTTTGTCTACAATCAAATTTTACCAAAATTCAAATTTTTAATCTGATTGAGAACCAAATGATCTTTAACCATCATCATCATCATCATGTGAGAGAAAAGATAGATGAAATTGGGGATAAGGGTTGCATTCTATAATTCAAACGAAAAGAAAAAGAAAACTCGAGTGACCATGGCTTGATTTGTTGGCCTTTGCCCCAAGCCTCAATTACCCACCCCATGGTAATAACCCCAAGAGCATGTTGTAAGGGGAGCGTGCAAAGATATTGAGCAATGAGGACGATATAATAAGGAATTGTTCAAACATACTTGGTACATGACAATTGTAACCACAATAACCTAATAAGCAATATAAACTACTAATCAAGGAATGGGTGGAGACGAGAGAATTTAGTAGAGTTATAGCATCCAATGATACTTAATATTAGGTAACTTATGGAAGGAAGCACATTTTTTTAATCAAATATTGTCTTTAAATCATTCCGCAACATAATTGTATCATACTGATAATCACTCCTAAAAGTAAAATAAGTGGCTATCCAAATATCATTAAGTTCAGACATTGATAGCTCTGCTACCAACATGTCTTTTAAAAACCAACTTTTTTAGGAATCACTAAAATAGTGATAGCCCATGTCCAAGGCAATAAAAAATGAAGGCTTTCTAAGCAAATATCAACCTATTTTTTAACTAAACATGTTCAAATAAGTTCGTCATATAATGTGGAAGTTCTAATAAATATAAACTCATATATATTTCTATTAGAGAAAGCATAGGATACCAAAGTTAACCTAAACCACAAAAGGTAAAGCAAATATTATTTTTGAAAACAGATAATAGATTACAACGAGCACATTTGAAAGAGAAAATAAAACACACAATGCCTGAAAATTTGAATTGGCAACAGACATGACATAAACACTTAACTAGGGTGGACCTTGGGTGGGGGTGGTGGCCAATAGGGACTTGGAAAGGCAGTAGCAAGGGGGTTAGGTGGATTGAACAGCAAAGGAACAATGGGTAGGGGCAGCTCTGGGAGGCAGGACATCAGCTAGGCTACAGTAAGTTTGTTCTGGTAGCTGGGAGGTAAAGCAGTGAGGCGGCCTGGGGAATGTGCCTAGCAGGTTGGAACAGCAATGGCAGTACAGGGGAAGTGCTAGAACAACAGCAATGCTGCAGGAATGTAGTTCAGATGGCTAAAAAACAGTGGACAGCAAGGCAAGGGGCTTATGAGGCTGCAACAACAAGGCAAAAGGTGAGGGAAGGTTGTGGGTGGTTAAGACAACAGCAGGGGAGTCAGCGGAATGATTTGGGTGGTTGGCAGTAAGCATATGACAGTTCAAAAAGCAGGAACTACAGAAGGACAGCGATGAGGTGGCTGTCGAGGCGGCTGTAACGAGATGGAATGCATGGTAGCAAAGCTGGAGTGATGCAGAGGAATTGAGGGAATGATAAATACCACCTCAGGAGCGAGATATAACATAAGCACCACTCTACCATTGCAGAAGAATCACCACCTCAGATGACAATACAAGATATAACCAAAGCACCACACATCAGATACAACTCTAGATGGAAAAACTTGGGAACCAAGCTTTCCTGAAAAAAACACGAAAAAATCATATCCCCCCACCCCAATTTGAAAGATCTAAAAATAACAAATATATAGTCCAATAAGTAAAGGGGAGGGGGGCCTGATCCAAATAGGAGGGAAATCCATGAAGAGGAAGTGTCGATCAGCCCTCCTGGACTGGTCCAAGGTGAAAAATCATGAGGCACTGTGGCAAGGATCGTGCATGGCTCTCTACTAGACTGGCTTCCCATGAAACTACAACAATTTCACGTGGGGCAAGAAGGGAGCTCCTGCACAATTACACCATATGGGGGGGGGGGGGGGGGTGGTCTTTGACTTCATTTGCCGAAGTTTCTGTCTCCTCATAGTGGTTAGGTTAACCCCATTGAAGAAATCAGAAATGGCATAATCTCCTGATAAGTCAGTCTTGTAGGCGTTAACATTCCAAAGCACATCCTTGATAGAATAAATATCAATTCTCTCTAGGCGCAACCTGAGCTAGGGTTGCATAAAGCGTAGATTTTCACGAGCCAAATTTTAAGCAAGTGTATCTATAATCTACTTCTCCAACTCCTCATACTCTATTGGATGTGTTTGATAAGCAAATCTATAATGAGGAATCAACACTGGGGCGAAATCTATGGTAGGTTGGGTCATATTGAAGGATAACAACTCAAGAGAGGTATCTTCTTCCTCTTTGAAAGAACCTGAATTCCACCATAGGATGTTCCTTTCTACAAAGATCCTAAGGTGATTTCCAACACCGTTATTCATCCATCATGTCTGATCAGCTGTCAATGGGTATACTGCTAAACTAAATTTATCACCCCAATGACTACCTAAGGGCTTCCATAAGTGGCTTAAAAGAGTCTTCTCGGACATATTGGACCACCCTCAGCAGAGACAACTCAGGAAGTAGTCTATATATCTGAAAAGCCTGAATTTCT